ATGGTGGGTGCCCCTCCCCCAGCCTCGCTGCCGCCTTGCAGTTAGATCTCAGACTGCTGTGCTAGCAATGAGGGAGGCTCCGTGGGTGTGGGATCCTCTGAGCCAGATGTGGGATATAATCTCCTGGTGTGCCGTTTGCTAAGACCCTTGGAAAAGCACAGTATTAGGGTGGGAGTGACCCGATTTTCCAGGTGCTGTGTGTCACAGTTTCCCTTGGCTAGGAAATGGAATTCCCTTCCCCCTTGCACTTCCCAGGTGAGGTGATGTCTCGCCCTGCTTCAGGTCTCGTTCACTGGGCTGCACCCACTGTCCTGCACCCACTGTCTGACACACCCCAGTGAGATGAACCCAGTACCTCAGTTGGCAATGCAGAAATCACCCATGTTCTGTGTTGCTCATGTTGGGAGCTGGAGGCTGGAGCTGTTCCTATTTGGCCATCTTGGAACTGCCCCCAGTAAGAGTATTTATAAACATAAATTTAGGTGGGTGTTGTAGAGTTCAATTCAAGTTCAAATTTGGGGCTTTTTGTAAACGTTAGTCACAGATTAATTGCTGACATATTGTACCCCTTATTAGGGATACAGCATTATGATAAATTTCTAGGAGAAAAATACCTAAATTACATTGTGGTCATGTTTCTAGTGGAAATAAAACTTAACCTAGAAGACAAAGCCATAATTATTCATTCAAATATGATACTGAATTGCTGTGTGGCCATCGATAAACCACATAACTTCCCTGGACTTTTTTTCATTTTTTTTTTAATTGGGGATAGTATTAGTTACCACATTGAATGTAATTGGATATGGTGTAAGGGCAAACTAATTTGTAGATATGAAATATTTTTGAACTATAGAAGACTTTTGGACTTAAAATGGTAATGATGATGCAGCCCCCTTTCCTCATGAAAAATAATTTAAAATAACAAGAAGGAAATTCCACCTTTATTGAAAGGAATCTTCAGCCAAATATAGGAAGAAGGGCTCCAGAGCCCAGTATGCCGTTTCAGAAGTAGATGGTATGCCTGTCTGAGAAAACAATCTCTTATTTGCAAGAATGCACTCTGTGGCAAGGGCATGCCTGGAAGCCAGTGAACATGAAGCAACTGGAGGATGGGAGGCTGAGTCAGGAGACACTGAGACTTACCACTTGTATGAAAGGAGTCAGAAAGTGGAGCAAGCTGGAAGAGAAACTCCTTTAGAAGCAGTCCTGAGTGCCATCTCTCTCTCGCCTGGGGAGAATTAAAGGCTAAACTAGACATAGGAGTACATTTTTGTGCACTTCATGGTCAGCCTCTGACAATTACTGTTGTGCTATATCCCACTCTGACCCTCCTCCCATAGTTCCAAATACTCACTATATTCAAAGATAAATTGCCAGCATATAGTCTATGAAGACTCACCATGTGAAGAAAAGACCACTGCAGCATAAATACCATTGTATTAAAATAATTAGAATAGAAAGCAGTTGAAAAATATTCACCAGGAAAATTTTGTCATGGAGAAAATGAAATTAATTCCCAAATGTATTACTAAATTAAGCAATATACAGTAACAATACAATAACTTCTTTGAAATAATGTCTCAAAGCAGACATTCAGGAAACAGAAAATTCAGAAAGAAATAAAGCAAGGAAACAGAAGGAAATGACTCTTAAGCAGATAAAACAAGAAAATTAATATATTAGTTTGTTCTCATGCTGCTACAAAGAACTACCCAAGACTGGGTAATTTATAAAGGAAAGAGGCTTAATTGACTCACAGTTCTGCATTGCTGGGGAGGCCTCAGGAAACTTACAATCATGGCAGAAGAGGAAACAACCATGTCCTTCTTCACATGGCAACAGGAGAGAGAAGTGCAGAGTGAAGTGGGGAAAAGCCCCTTATAAAACCATCAGATCTTGTGAGAACTCACTCACTATCACAAGCACAACATGGGGGAAACTGCCCCCATGAGGTCTCTCCCATGAGGTCCCTCCGCCAACACATGGGGATTACAATTCAAGATGAGATTTTAGTTGGGGACACAGGGAAACCTTATTAAGTATAGGGAAGAATAGTAGAAAAGAATGTTAAATCTAAAGATACATTGGAAATAACCTAAAGGAGAATAGAAACTGAAAATATCAAAAAGCATGTGAAGATTGAAAAAATGAAGCAAAATAGATTAACATGAACAACGAGTTAAAACAATTGTCAGGGTAGATGAATGAAAATAATTTGTTAGAAAAGTCCAAACAGAAAACAGGGAAGTTCAGCATACACATAAGTGGTATGCCTGAAAAGGTGAAATGAACATACGGAGAAAAAAATGTTTAAAGTTACTTTTTCCAGATGTGAAGAAGTTTTGAGAATAAACATTTTTGACTTTAATCTTTTGTTTGGAAGCCCAACATTATGAAAATAGTTATGCAAAATGATCACCATCAATATCCTAATCCACTTTCCTTTCAAAACACAATCATCCCTTGGTATCTTCAAGCGATTATTTCCAGTGTTCCCAGAAGATACCAAAATTCACTGATGCTCAAGTTCTTTGGGGTATGTATTCAGAAACCACCAATATAGAAGGCCAACTGGAACAGGGAATCTTTTGGGGAGTCTGAAAGGAGATTAAGTCCTAAACAAAGGGTGACCTCAGAATTCCTCTCAGTAACATTCCACATTAGGAAAAGAACAGGTCAGTGCCTCTCCAGTGCTTTCAGGAAAAGGCAGTGTAACCCATGTTCCTAAACTCAGTCAGTGTATCTTTTAAAGTAAGGCAACTGACAAACAGTTTTCAACATGTAGTACTGCTCAGAATCTAGTTGCCAGATTCCTTTAAAAATATTCTGACAATAAAAATGAATAGAGGAATTATGGCAAAAGAACTGTTGATAAACATTAAATGTGTTGAAAATATTAAATATTTCTAACTGTAGTAATAAGTAAAAATATTTCTGAGAATTATGTTTACAGAACAGAATGAAAATGTTACAAAGGATAGTAACATTGAAAAAATTTATCTGATACAATTTAGGACGAAAAGTGGAAGAGAAGGTGAGAGGCAGGATACATATGGTGAATTCTTCATCTTTTATAGCTGAAGGCAAAAAAATGCCACTTAATGGTGATGTATTAAATAACATAGCATAAACATACAAAGGCATAAAAACGTAGTAAAACAAAGTGTGTAAACAGTTAAAATTAGGTAATGCAATAAGAGAAGTGATTGGAGAGTAAGTGGAGGTATAAATTTTGTCAGTATTACAGTGAAAAGTCAGTAGATAATAGATAAAGAAAAAGAAATATCGGATTAAAAGTATTATATTGGCCAGGCACAGTGGCTCATGCCTGTAATCCCAGGACTTTGGGAGGCCGAGGCAGGTGGATCACCTGAGGTCAGGAGTTTGAGACCAGCCTGGCCGCCTGGCCAATATGGTGAAACCACATCTCTACTAAAAATACAAAAATTAGCCGGGCATTGTGGCAGGTGCCTGTAATCCCAGCTGTTCAGGAGGCTAAGGCAGGAGAATTACTTGAACCCAGGAAGCAGAGGTTGCAGTGAGCCGTGATTGTGCTGCTGCACTCCAGGCTGGGTGACAAGAGCGGGACTCCGTCTCAAAAAAAAAATAAATAAATAAAAAGTATATCACATTGTATTTAAAAGATAACACAAAAGGTAATAGAAAAACCTGTGACCTTCAGATTATTAATAATAAATTATTAATAGTAACACAAACAGGCACAAAAAGAACGAAGTGAAATATTGAAGGAAAAAAAAACTAGTATCATCATCAGGCATACCAAAACACAATATAACTGATTCTGAAAATATCTACCATATTAATAAGGGCACTATTTATCAAATTTAGTAAGAAAGTTATTTATTTTCAGAAGAAATCAATAGGAATGGATATCTATGCATCACATAACATAGACTCACATTCCATAATGGAAAATCTACAGAAATTTCAGGGCAAAAGAGAAGAAAACATATTAGTTGCAGGAAACTTAATTCAGTGTGTGAAAACTATTAGTAAAAACTTGTAAGCAAATAGAAGACTGCTAAAACATGATTGATTTCAAAATGTTACATATCATTGTGTTTTTCTTCATTAAAGATATGTCTTCATAAATTCTCTAAAATTTTTAAAGTTTTCTCTTAAATTGGATTAATGGTTTCTGAATTAAGAACATTTAAAAAAATCTTTAAGAAACTGCTTTCAACTTTATCTTTCAAGTTTCTGTGCTATTCACACTTAGTCTTCACTGACTCCTACATGAACTGAAGCTCTAAGTGTAGGACTAAGAGCAAGTGTTAGAAATTTGGAGGCCCTACTACGGTAGGTCTCTCAGTTTTGTAAAGAATCAGATGCTCAGTTGGCTGGAAGGATAGAGAAAGGAAAAATAGAGTCCCTTTTCTCAAAGCCCCCAAGTCCAGCAGGGAAAACACACCTTATATATCATAATAAATAGAATATGCAAGATAAGCTCCAGTGTATGCAGGAGGAAAGGGACTTTGGTGGAAGCAGCTAAAAAGATCTTGTAAAAATATAAATTGGGTCTTATGATGCAAGAATCCAGCCTGTTTTAACATGGATTGGATGACTTACTTATTCAGAGACTTGGAACAAAAAATAGTGGATATGGATCACAGTTTTCTGTGATCGTTGGAGGAAAAATGTGACAAAATCCTATATGCTGTCCTTGGGATACCCTCCTGACATCCCCATTCCCTCTCTGTTGCTTGTGCTTACAGTAGAGATGGGTCTTCTCCTAACAGGTGCTTCTCAAATTCCAGATCTCATTTTTCTGTCTTCTCTTAGGTACCTCAGACTTCTGACCTTTTTTCTGGTTACTAATACAGACTTTCATTGTTTTTCTCTTTTTGCTGCATCTATAAATATTGTGATTTCTCAGAAATTTTGTTTTGTATGTGTTTATGAGACAATTGGCCAGATGAGGCTACAAGAGGAGACACAGGAGAGACTCAAGAAAATAAAGTATTTTTTACTCACAGGTCCTAGAGACAGGAGGCATGCCATACATGGCAACATGGGGAAGACCAGAGTGGTCAGGAGGCAGAAACAGGAGCAAGGTAAGTTGTAAGGCATGGCCTTTATTGGGGTTTCTGAGAGAAAGGTAAGGCAGAGTAGGATGAACAATTTAGGACTACTTTGAATAATTTCTCCAGACTTTGGGAAACAGCAGTGTTCTCTAGTTGCCTGGTACCTGGCCCTGGGTTGCTTAAGACAGAAGAATATTGTTTCCGGGGTATATGGGCAAGGTAACGGAAGTATGGCTCTGGGTTGGTTAGTTTGCATGTCACAGCATGCTTCAGGCTGATCCCTTTTCTAGCTTAAGAATTGACTAGCCTTAGGCAAAGGCGATCTCTTTCCCAGTTAGAAAGATTTTCTAAGATATCAAAACATCACAAGGTACAGACAATTTAAATACACAATTATTTGCAATACAACCTTGTTCTGGGCCTTCTTTTCCCTCACTTTCTTCCTATCATGACTTTCCATTCCGTAGCCTAAAATGCCATCTATCTTCTAATGACTTGCCTGACATTCACTCTTGTGTATCTAACTGCCTCTTTGCCCCATGAATTTTCAAATATGTCCAAAACATACCTCTTGATTCTCCTCCCCACTCTTGCTTCTCCCCCAATCTTCCTTTTCAAGATAAATGGCACCATCAGGCAACCAGGAGGTCAAACCAGAAACCACTGGCTTCTTTAATTCCATTACCCTTCCTTTCCTATCCCACAACCACCTATTCACACCCACACTTAAGAACCTTTTAACCATCCACCCTTCCACAAAACTTGGTTCTTCTTTCAACATAAATCTCAAATTCGGCAACTTCCCTACACTTCTACTGCCACTGCCACCACCACCCTGCACCAAGCAAGCCACTTTCATCTTACCCCTTTTCTGTCACAGTACCCCCCCCATCATATTCTACACGTTTATACTCCTAGCTGCTGTACAAACCATTTTTGATTAATATTGGTAAAACAAACTATATCACTCCCCATCTCAAAGCCATTCTCACTGATTTCTAGCTGTATTGAGGATGAAACATGCAAACCTTACCAGGGTCCAAACGCCTTCCCAGCATAACCTGTTCTCTTCTCTGTTTTTCCAACATAATTTTTTTCACTCTTCTTTCCTCCGCAATTCATTACGCTCCAATACCAATGGTCTTTTATCAGGTTCTGGAACCGTTTTCCTGGTCTTGATTTAAAGGAAATTTAATTAAATAAAGATCTCCATAGAAAAACTGTCTCTGTCTACTCTGTCTAAATTATTCCCTTCCGATAGTAGTTTCCATTTCAGCAGTTTGTTTCCTTCAAAGCAGCTGATCACTGTTGCAATTATATTTACTTGTGACCTTATTTTGTGTTTTGTCATCTGGATGTTATGTTCCAGGAGAGTAGGGATAATATGAGTAGTTTTCTCACCATCAGATCTCCAGTTCCATCACAGAGTGGTAACATTATAGGCACTCAAGGGTAGGAACATACAGGACATACCCAATAAATCATTGTTGAATGAATGATTTAAGTTTAATTTGTTACGATATTTTATTCAAAATAGGGCAATCATTATCAACAAAACATGAAAGAGAAAAATGAGAGAGAACCACAGCAGGGACAGCATCGTAAAAGTTAACTGGGATTTGGGCTTCCATTAGTGGTCTCAGCTTACTAAGATCTTTATACCAAGTCAAGTCAGGAGAGGCTGGAAAGAGAGCTGAGATGGCTGGCTGGCAAGGCTGTCTCCACTTCACCTTACCTGCCGTGGCTGTGACCATGCTATGCACGGGTCTCAACTAATAACTTTCTTCCTTCAGCCGTGCTTGTCATGTTACTCTGTAATCGGGATGTGTTTATATTTCTTATTTTGGCAGAAACACTCAAGAGAGGGGACTTAATTTCAGTCTCAACTTACAACTGCTCTCTCCAATAATTTTTGTGTGTGAAATATCCTAATTAGACTCAGTGTCTTCCTTGCATTCCCAGCAACTTGAGTGACAGATAATTCTATTAAATGTGGGGAGCAATGAGTTGGGCAGGGGTTAGCGAGCGATGGCCTGAGGGCCAATCCAGCCTGCCACTTGTTTTGGTAAGCAACAAATTTTTTGGAACACAGCTGCACCCATTCATGTACGTATTGTTCATGACTGTCTTCCTGCAAAAATATTAGCCCTGAGTTGATGGATATTGATGGTGGAGTTCACAAAGTTGAAAAATAACTTATCTGCCCCTTTACAGGAAAAGTTTGCCAACCTCTGGACTAGAGTATGATCTTCTTTATTCTGAGCCTTAGATACAGTATTAGGACAGTTTAACTATTTTTCTAACATCTCTATTTATACATTATGAATTAATTTTGGGGAAAATTGGATTTTGTTTACATCTTCCAGTATCATTTAGTTCAGACCCTATTATGTTCCAAGCATTTACTTAATCGATAAAGAAAGCTTTTTGTGACCTTTCCATCCCAAGTAATCTCCCATTGCTCTTAAGGCCTATATTGTTTTACCACCCATAGCACTTTATCTCTCATAGAGCTCTATCTCACCTGGTGCTTTATCTCCCGTAGCACACAGCATTTTGACCTTGTATGTGAATCATGTATGTGCATGGCTAATCTAGCCTACCGGGTGGCATTGTGTAAAGAAAATTGTATTTCGAGAATGACAGATTGCTAGGCTCTGAGCTGCATAGTAGTTGGGATTGTGCCTCTTTTGCTGACCTGGAAACTTGTCCAGTGTGTGTCACTTGGTAGACGTTTTATCATGCATGAATGAGTCCGCATTGTGCCTCTACATTAATAGAGACTTGCCTCCTTGCTTTTTGTAGATGACAGTAGAACTGGATCTATGATGAGCATTATGTAGCATGCCCCATCCGTGCCAGACATACACACAGACACACACACACACACACACACACACACACACACATACCTTACTCTCAATAGTTTCATGTGTCCACTGTTTCTAATCAGTAAATTGAGGGTATGTCTGGACACTGTACTTTTACAGTTAGACGTTAGACTCTTAACTCTCATTTACCAAAGAACTTTGAACAAGATACAAAAGATGACCTTTAATTTCCTCATCTTTTAAATGTAGCTAATCACAGCCACCTTCCAGGACTGTAGTGGAAGTAAATGAGATCGCAAGCACGACTGGAAGGAGCTGGCACAGCCCATAACTCACTGGAAGTGGTCAGTAGAGGTCAGTTTTGTTCACAACCAAGGCCTGTGACTTCCACTCCAAACTGCTAAGGGAAGCCCTGCTTCTCAGTTACTTGAATTATAGTCTCTAGGAGTATGAAAGCCAGGGTGCTCCTTTAAATTTCCTGCTCCCCGTGATTTCTGATCCCCTCATTCAGTCTTTGCCATCCTTGTACATTGCATTACAATCTGCCACACTGTGGAAGCCAGAACTCTGAGTCATTGCTGTTTCCTACATCCTTAAGGCCTCAGAAATCTTTACTCCGTCCACTTCTCACTTAGTTTCTCAGTCATCTGCTTAACCCAAATGATGATTTTCTTTTCCCTGGTCTGATTGAAAAATCTTCGTCCCGGCTGCCCGCTACCTCCTTCTCCATATGAAAACTAGAACTCTTTTTTTAAGTTTGAGACAGAGTCTCGCTCTGTTGCCCAGGCTGGAGTGTAGTGGCATGATCTGGGCTCACTGCAAGCTCCACCCCCAGGCTTCACGCCATTCTCCTGCCTCAGCCTCCTGAGTAGCTGGGAGTACAGGTGCCCGCCACAACGCCCAGATGGTTTTTTTGTATTTTTTGTAGAGATGGGGTTTCACTGTGTGAGCCAGGATGGTCTCGATCTCCTGACCTTGTGATCCACCCGCCTTGGCCTCCCAAAGTGCTTGGATTTCAGGAGTGAGCCACCGCGCCCAGCCTAAAAAAAATCTAGAACTCTTAAACACATATATCAGACAATGTGTTTTCAAAAACTCCTAATGATTTCCCATGAAGACTGACATGATATCAAATCCCTATGCAGTGGTCTACAGGCTGTCATGGAGATGCCTCTAAATTAATTGCATATCTTGGAGTTTGTTCACAGTATACCAGGCTCAAGGTCCCATGAACTGATGTCTGTAGCTTTAAAGACCAAATTATTTTCTGCCTCTGCACTTTTGAACGTGTTATGCCTCCTCCTTGTAAATCTTTCTGCCTCTCTTCACAAAGGTCACTTTTATATCCATCAGGTGTCAGTTAAAATTATGCTGTTGGAGATCTCCATGAATACTCTGTTCTTTTTGTCATTCCTTTTCTTGGAGTCCTGTTTTTCCTGCTTATTCTTACAACAATTTGTAATTTTATAGATGGATAGATAGCAAGCATTTACTTATTTTTGTCTGACATTCCTATTACTTTGTGTACTCTGTGAAGGCTGAACTATGTCTGCTTCATTCATTCATTGGTATATGCTCAGCCCCAGTGCATTTTTTTTGCTATATAGCAGTGCTTAATATATTATTCTTGAATGAATCAATCAATCATTCAATCAATCAACAATACTTTTAGGCAAATTTACCTCTCCCCAGCATATTTTCCTCTGAGTATAAATGGCTGGCTGAAATTCTGGCCTGTAAATAGAAATGTATATTTTCTAAGAAGACTGTGAATATAACAATGATTTGAAAAATGAACATAGGTTCTTACATGACTTTAAGAAGATAAGATCCTCTCAAGATGATGCTTTTCCCAAATCTAGTAACAGGACAAAGTAAAAGCAATTTATTGCTTTATTCTTTAACATTTTAATTTTCAAAGAGCTTGGAGAATTCTCTTTGAGGTTTAGTGCATGGCAAAATGTAATATGAAAAAGTGTTGGTTTCAGGTTACAATTTGTAAAAGAAACATGTTAAGATATCTTTCAGCAATCTCAGTATTTCTCCGTAATCTTAAATTTGAAGATACTGATTTTAATATATTGGTAGTAATCTTAAAGTTAATATTCCACTTTAGCTGCACATCTCAAAATGATATACAAAACAAGGATTTCGATTTTAATTGGAATTATAAAATGCTTTTACAAAGCCTGAATTTGC